AGAGAGAGAGAGAGAGAGAGAGAGAGAGTATGCAGAGTCATGCTACATTAAATTGTCCATTAAATGTCTACAGACTAGTTGGGGACCACGTTCTCCCATTAAACCCATTTCCAGGTAGTAAACAGGACAGAGCACTGAGTGGCAAACCCTTTTAACGGCCTGAAGGGAGTAATAACATTAGTATTTCATTTTGAGGCTTTCTAGTGTTATGTCCCACAGATGAAAAAAATGCAGTGGGTTTGTTTCTGTGCTTGTGTGCTTTATAAGCTCTGTCTTTCTCTATAAGGATACCGGTTCAGGGACTGTCATTTGTAAGTTTAGAAAACACTGCTTGAAATATGACAAGTTGATTTCTTCTTCATCCATCACACACAAATGAATTAGTAAACAATTCACAAAATTTGCCCAACAGCATGCAGAAATTTGGTCTTTCAGCAATGTTTGCAATTCCACAGTGGTGTCACTGGCACTCAGGATAACAGACTTAGTGTTTATATACAGTAGTATTATTAAAGAAATATACTGGGTTCAGTTCAAATTTATATTGACAGAATCTGTCAAATGCTGTTGATTTACAACAGACAACAATTGACCTAAAACAATTGTGCATACGGTAATGTGTGTACAATGGAAGTGTATAAATGTTAAAATACACAATGTTTTGAAATTCTAGTCACGACACTGATCAAATTTAACAGTACCATAAAATTATGTATTTATAACCTGATTTAAGGAAAATTAAAGTGTTCCTTATTATTATAAATGCAGTGGAAAATACATTTACAAAAATTCAGCAACATGATGTGATCAATAAATTACTGCAAAAACTTGATTTTATAAAATGTGATACATAAAGATAAATACAGAACGATTTTTTAAACATATTTTTTCTGACTATAATTTCATTATTCAGGGATAATATAAGCACTTTAATAAAAATATGAGCTTCACATTTCTGCTTTTAATCCTTTGAAATGCCTTCTTGCCCCATTGTATTGTAATTGTATGGCTGTAAATATGATTTTTGATTTTTTGTACAAATTAAAGGGATAGTTCACCCAAAAATGAAAATTACCCCACGATTTACTCACCCTCAAGCCATCCTAGGTGTATATGACTTTCTTCTTTCAGATGAATACAATCGGAGTTATATTTAAAAATGAACTATCCCTTTAAGGGAACGAATCAAAACATTTTTATGCTAAGGATGTATTAAAGCAGGAAAATTCCTTTAATCTCTCCCCCTTTTTCATTCTCTTTCTCACTGCCAGGAGAAATGTTAAGATGTCTGCAGTGTGTCAGTATTCCCTCAGAGATGTCCAGACAGCTTTTGATGGGCCTTACATGGAACTACAGGACACCAAATGGAGGGAGTACACTGGGAAAGTTCCAGAACCGAGGCCTGGTTTGGTGAGATGCAAAATAATCTCATAATATCTGTTATAATAGGACAGCTCTTTGGGACTTGTATTGGAGTCTTGCATTGTTTCTATTTTCACTCTTCTCAGGAATGTTACATAACAGTGGCCTTGTTTCTCTTTAGTGTATAACTGATCAGCATCGTGCCCAGCTCATAAATTCCTCCCGGGATCTCCCTGACAACGTATTGAATTTCGCCCGGACACATGCTTTAATGTCCAGACAGATCCAGCCAGTGGGAGGACGTCCTGTGTTGCTCCAGAGGAGCGCGGACTACACCAAGATCGCCGTAAAACAGGTTGTGGGTTTGGATGGACATGTCTATGACATGCTCTTCATTGGAACAGGTAAGAGGAGTCTATTTCCATTGCTAGTTATTATTTTAATATTGAGATTAAATGGTAATTTTGATAGATTATTTTATTGTAATATTAAGATTATAACAGTTTGGGGTTGGTAAGATTTTTTTAATGTTAAGAAGAAGTCTCTTATGCTCACCAAGGCTCCATTTGTTTGAACATAAATACAATAAAAACAGTAATATTGTGAAATATTATTACAATTAAAATATTAAAAAATCTATTTTAATATATTGTAAAATGAAATGTATTCCTGTGATGCAAAAGCTGAACTTTCAGCAGCCATTACTCCAGTCTTCAGTGTTACATGATCCTTCAGAAATCATTGTTATATGCTGATTTGCTGCTCAAGAAACATTTCTTATTATTATCAATGTTGAAAACAGTTGTGGTGCTTAATATTTTTATGGAAACTGTGATACATTTTTAAAGAATAATTTGATGAATAGAAAGTTCAAAAGATATGTTTTGTAAAATTAGTAATGTCTTTTTCTTTAATTTAATACATGCTTGCTGAATAAAATTATTCATTTATTTAAAAAAAAATCTTACTGACCACAAACTTTTTGAACGGTAGTGTATATTTGGGTTCATACTTTGAAACTTGGTTTGTGTGCTTCTCTCCAGATGAGGGCTGGTTACACAGGGCTGTAAAGATCAGAAACCGTGTTCACATCATTGAGGAGCTTCAGCTGTTCAAGAAGAAACAACCAATCAATAACATGGTGATATCACAAAAGCAGGTACATGATACACCTAGCACCCATTAAAAACCAGCATAAAATCCAAGCATATAGTACAAACGCTTTTGGATCCTCCAAAAGTTAGGATGTGCACTTTTGTTCAACAGAACAGTATCTATGTGAGCGCCTCCACCGGAGTGGTGCAAGTACCCCTGTCATCCTGTGAGCGCTACACCTCCTGTTATGACTGTGTGTTTGCACGAGATCCACTCTGCGGCTGGGATGGTAGAGCATGTGCTGAAATAGCAGCTTACGCTAACAGGTAAATGCAGGTATCTGGTGTTTTTAATAACAGTTTTCACATATGTACTATGTATGTCACCATAGTCCAAAAATAATTTTTTGTGTCAGTGGCAGATGATTTAAGAAAAATTACTAGGGATGCACAATATAATGTCATCATATCAGAGACCAATATTGAATTTTTACTGGCTGATATTGGATATATGATCTTTGCTTATTTTAAAATTTTGATTCAAACAGTATATATTTTTCTATAGCAGATTTCAAAAAAGCAATTGTCTTTATTGGATATATTTTATGCTGTAATGTCGCAGTGCCTAAATTAACTAGCATACAACATTTTTTATTTTAGTTGTAGTGATGTTTTTAGTTTTATTTTGCATGATTATTTTTGTATGTAGTTCTTTATTTATTTATTTGGTTAGTTAGAATTTTCTGAATTTTAATATCAGCGCATTTGTAAAATTTTTTAAAATATTTAAATTGTATATGATTTATATAAATATTTTTATTTTTGTAGTTTTTCATGATATATAATAAATATTTATTTTATATGAAACTTGCATTATTATTATTATTTTTTTTAATTAGTTCTTAAGACAATGGATTTAGTTGTTTTTGCATATTTATGATAAATAGTGGAGTTCATTGCGTCACCACAATTATGAGCCTGTCTTAAATGAAAATACACAAATGAGGAATATTGAGAAATTAACAACTTTAGGTATCTTAAATAAACCTCTGATGGTAAACTTTCCAATGAGATAAAAGTTGTTAGAAGATGTGCATCAGTGAGAGTCAGGCTATTGTTCTTACAATGTGATTTAAACCATCTAATGTTAACATTCCTAATAAAGCTACCAGCCAGCTGGTGAGTAAAGTGACTTATTTTCTTGCTAAAGCCAATTTTTACTTTTATTGGTCTCTTGGTGTTAATTTTCAGGCCCAGTGTCCAAAATAAATTCACAGTATGTTCTGCATGCTTCGATTAATGGCATTAATAAGTGCAACTCTGTGTCTTGTAGATACAGTCTCGTCCAGGACATCCAGATGGGAAGCAGAGGCTGTACTAATATTACAAGTGATGGTGTGTTTGCATGTGAATAATTTCTGAGCAGCCTAGTCAGGTGACTTTTAAGTGTAGACTAATAATGTCTCACATTTTGCCAGGTTTTGTCATGCACCGGACACGTGCAGTGATGGCAGGAGATGATGTTCTGTTACAGTGTGAGATTCGTTCTAACCTGGCCACCCCTCACTGGACGCTGAACGGTCAGCAGCTGCAAGGTTACGGCGTAGACTTCGGCTACCGCACCGGCACTGATGGCCTCCTCATCATTGGAACTCAGAACCAGCAAAGTGGACACTACCGCTGTTACGCAGTAGAGAACGGTGTCTGGGTTCCCGTTCGCAGCTACGTGGTACGGGTCCAACCTGTTCCACCTCCTGCATCACATCTCTCGGGAAGCCCAACGGCTTTACCTGAAAGTTTCTTCACCACCACAACCGCACCAACTCCGAGTCCTTCCAGCGGTCCTGTCGAGCAGCTTCTGTCGCCCCCACCGGGCCTGTTGCCTTCTAGACCAGAGTTCCAAAACTACAGGCACATGGAGGCTATGTATATCTCTCTGGTGGCTGTTCTTGGCGGGCTTTGTCTGGTTCTAATGGTGGTCCTCCTGTACGTTAGCTTCTGTGCACGCAACTCTCCCAATGCCAGAAAGTACTCCCAGCAAGCTCTGTCTGTAACCACGGCAGCCGAAAGAAAGAGGAGCTCGCTCTTTGAGCTTAAAACCATCTCCAGTCACTGCAATGGCAGAACGGAGGGGCGTAGCAGAGCGATGTCAAGAGACGGAGAGTTTCTACAGATCGTTCCAGCGGACATCCAGACCACGCCTAGCAAGGAACCTCCGCCTGCGCCGCCACTTCCTCTGCCTCCGCCCCTGCCTGCATCGGAGTATGCCAACGGACTGTCGGCCACATTGCCCAGTGTGCTAAGAAAGATGAACAGGAATAGCTATGTGCTCCTGAGCCAGACGGACACGGAAATTATGTCTCCGCTTTACCACTCCTTCACCGAGGAGCTCAACAGGATTCTAGAAAAGAGGAAACACACACAGTTGGACATCCAGCCAGATGAGAGCTCAGTGTAGCACGATCTCGCATCACTACTATATCGCACCCTTGTGGTATGGAGGCTTACATTTTGTATAAGAGCCAAAAGAAACATGTCTTTTGAAGTTCTTCATGGTTTCTCTTTGAGAACTTTGAGAATCATCTCATGAAAATATATTCTTGAAAATATTTCTGAGTTTGGCCGAATTTACTTTGAATTGAATAGACATCAAATGTAGCTAAAGACACCTAGACTGTGGACCTCGAAGTGTAAAAATCACAAGATGATATTCAGTCAAGAACACGCAAGACTCAATTTGGTTATATTGTTTTGTTTTAAAGGAGAAGTAAGAGACTTAAGAACACTGTCCAAAGACTTTCTCAGCAAAGAAATGCACATTTGTACAAAATCAATGTGATATTATTGCTCAAATGCAGACGTTTACAGATTTTTTGTTTTTGCCTAATTGCACCTGATTTAAATAACAATCATTTTATTATCAAAGTACTAATAGTCAGAGCATTTTCAAAACTTCTTTGCTAGTTCATTAATAATTCAAAAAGAGTTTGGGTTTTGAGCCTGTTGGCAACATTTCATGAATGTGAGAGCACATGTTCTTGAGATTTGGGCATTTTACACAGTTTCACACTAGATTGGAGTCAGATTACAGGAGCAGCGAGTGTTAGCACATGCATCATTGACATCTATACAGATACAGAGGTGGTCATTTTCAGAGTTAGGGATGTCAGAAGGAGTGAATAGATCTCAAAATGGAAGAAACACTCTCTCTGATGCAAGATTTCCCTGTCAAATGAGATGCTCACAAACGGAAGTAAAAGCCAAAATGCCAGGACGTTTGAAGTTTGATGAGTTTGCATTTAGTTTATTTTCTGCATTTTGAATGCATGACAATGCACCTGGTTAATTGACTTTTAAACCTCAGGCATAAATGTATTTCTATCAGGGCTGTCAGTTTATTATTGTAATTTAATTAAATTAGTTTTTTAAAAATCTGACGCACTACAGTTCAAATGTTTGGGGTCAATGTTTTTGAAAGAAGTTTCTTCTTATGCTCACCAAGGCTGCATTTATTTGATGTAAAATACAAAAACAGCAATATTGTGAAATACTATAACCATTTCAAATAACTGTTTTCTAAAATGTATTTTATTCCTGTGATGGCAAAGCTGAATTTTCTGCAGCCATTACCCCAGTCTTCAGTGTCACATGATCCTTCAGAAATCATTCTGATATGCTGATTTGGTATTCAAGATTTTTTTTTTACCTATGCTAAAGACAGTCATTGCTTATATTATTTCTGTGGAAATCATGATACGTTTTTTGCAGGATTCTTTGATGAATAGAAAGTTTTTTTTTTTTTTAAACTGCATTTTTTATAACAATATATTTACTGTCACTGATCAATTTAATGTGTCCTTATTGAATGAAGATATTAAATTCTTTGTTGATAAAATAAGGCAAGGCAAGGCAAGTTTATTTGTATAGCACATTTCATACACAATGGTAATTCAAAGTGCTTTACATAAAATAAAATAAAAACAATAATCACAACAATAAAACAAGGAATTTAAAAACTTTGAAATTTTTTATTTTTTTTTAAATTGATTTAAGAGGTTTAAAATGAATTTAAGAAAACTATTATACATATAATACAGTGCAATCAGTTCGGACATCGCACAGTGCTCATTCAATAAATGCACAGCTAAACAGATGAGTTTTGAGTCTGCATTTAAATGTGACTAATGTTTTAGCACATTTAAAAATAAATAAAATCTTGCTGTCCCCAAACTTTTGAACAGTAGTGCATATTAATGAAAAATTTAACACAATTAATTATGCCACCTGATCCCAACATTGGGGGTTTTCTACTGCAAATATTGTCTTGTGAGTAACTGAGATGAATTTGATTAATTAATCAACATATTGTAATTAATTCTATTACATTTCAACTGACAGGCCTAATATCTATTCAGCTGTATGTCTTATTTCTGCTTTGTTTATTGTGACCCTGGTTTTGTTCTGGTTTGTCAACAGTGTTACGAGTCCGCTCTTGTCGTTTCTCCCTAGTGGCTTTCCCAGCTTGTGCTGCTCTGTTTGTCAGTGTTGCTGACAGGAATAGCACTGCTTAGCAAGGACTCAATCAAGATGCAGAGAGAGATGTGGAGTCTTTTCTTAAAACTGCAGAAAGTAGGGAGAGACATGATGTGCTTGTTTTGGCCAGTAAGTCATGAAGCTAACACAAGTGCCGTCACACTGACTCCGTGTGCTTCAGCTCATCTTTTTTTTCACCTTCTCTCACGTTTTTCTTTCATTCAGGTGTTATTTTGCAACCACTTGTCTGATCTACATAACATTTTTGATCAGTCTTCCATGAGACTTATTTCTATTGCATACGAGTGTCAACGTATGTTGATTTTATGTCAAAAATACAATTCTGACTTTTTGGTTCACTGATATAAATACATTATACAAGTCAACATAAGACTAATTTGAATGGGTTTTAGGTTAAACAGGGTATTTACAATGCTGTTCAAATATTTAGGGTCAGTTTTTAAAGAAATTAATCATTTTATTCAGCAAGGATGCATTTAATTCTTCAAAAGTGACAGTAAAGACATATAAATTTTTTACAAAAGATTTCTGTAAATAGTGATCCTTACAACTTTCTATTAATCAAAAAAAAATTATGACAATAATATGAAATGTTTCTTGAGAACCAAATCAGC